GAAAGATTTGCCCTAGCAGTTGAAATCTGGTCTTGAAGCTTGTCCTGCTCGGTTTTGTAAGTTTCACGGAAATCCTTTGGGTCACTATCAAAACGAGCTCTCTCTTCCACAATCTTGACTCGTAAATCAGCATCTCTAACCGTCCCTACTTGAGCGTGCATTCCAAAACGATCAAGAAGCTGTGGCCTAAGCTCTCCTTCTTCCGGATTTCCTGAACCAATTAAGATAAACCTCGCAGGGTGAGAAATCGAAATTCCTTCTCTCTCAACCGTATTCCATCCAGAAGCAGCTGAATCCAAAAGAACATCAACCAAATGATCATCCAAAAGATTAACTTCATCAACATAGAGAATCCCTCTATTAGCTTTAGCCAACAAACCAGGCTCAAAGGCTTTTACACCTTCTGTCAAAGCCTTTTCGATATCGATTGTTCCACAAACTCTATCTTCTGTTGCACCCAACGGAAGATCAACCATATTAATCTTAGTCGCAATAACTGGAACTTTCTCTCCTTTCTCAACTCTCTCTCTTACTTCAACACCCATAAACTCAGGATCTATCGGATCCGAGTTATACGGGTCACCTGCAACTACATTAATCTCGGGTAACAGATCAACTAATGATCTAACAGTTGTAGATTTTCCAGTTCCTCTATCTCCCATAATCATCACACCACCAATCTTTGGATCAATCACATTCAACAGAAGACATAACTTCATCTCATCTTGCCCAACTATAGCTGCAAATGGATAAACCGGCCTCGCACTCTTCTTTGAATCAAACTTCCCTACCTAAAACCCCAAAAACCACCATTACACAAAAACCAACAACAATCATGTTCCTAACTTCAAAAATCAAGCAAAGTCTGAAACTTTTTGGTGAACATCATCAAAAAATGCTTACTTGTTCAGTAGAGTTGATTTCTGTGGCTACATTCACAACCGAAACATGGTAAGGAGACCTGTTCTTCTTTGGCCTTATCTGGATTCCTGCATTTAACTTGCTTCCAAACAATTTCCCTGTAAACAAGAATTCAACTCTTCAATTCACCATGATTTCGAAATGAGAAAAACAGTGAGTTTAAGGTTTCAAGAGATTGGTTTACCTGGCCTGAAGCAAATGGGAGAAGTCGAAGGTGTAGAGGAAGAAGAAGAGAGAGAAGGAGAAGCCCAGATTGCAGAAGAAGATGTTCCAAGAAGAGACGCCATTTTTGTGTGAGCTTAGAGTGTTACTCAGCTTCTGATTGGCTTTTTTTCTCCTTAGAAAAATTTCGCTTCCATTGCTTATGTTTTTGCTTCTGTGGTCAGGATAAGGTGATAGATTTCCTCCTCTATCTTCCTCCTTTTTTTTTTTTTTTTTCATTTTCTCCATTCAACGAAAATAATAATTTTTTTTTTCTTGGCAATTCTTAATAAAAAATTAATTAAGCACAATTTGGTCCTACTTTTTTTTTTTTGAAACTATATTTTACTGGTGGATCCATATAAATTTACTTAACATTTTTGTAGTACAAATTTGCTTTTTCCAATCGGGTCGGATTTTTTGTGATTTTGACCCGGAAATCTTCAATCGGATCTTTCCTTATTTTTTGACAAAATTCAAAAACAAAATTAATTAATAAATTCTAAAAATATATATTTTCTCAACTAATTACTACACCCAAACTCTTTATTTATGGCATATTCTTTCTGATATTTATATATAAGGAAACCAAATATGATGATTTAATGCTAATATAACAAATTTGAGCTAATTTCCTAAAACTTCTCTACCTAATTTAAACAAAAATATATGATTCTCATTTCACTTTTATTTGATTTATATTTATATTATTTTTAATTATTATAAAATATATATAGTTAATAAAATTTTAGATTTTTTTCTACATATGCTATTTTTCAAAATTTTTAAAACGGACATATATTACTCAATCAATAAAGAAAAAAATATGTGTACAATCTAAAGTACATATTTGCTCTTTTTTTGGGTCAGTTTTGTTTTTTTTTTTTAATTTTGACCCGGATTTTGACCCTCAATTAAGTCTTTTGGATACAAATAATGAGACTTTCCAAAAAAAATCCTAGCAATTTAAATGATTGATTATATATGTAGTTATTACTAAATATATATCTACTTAACATTTTTGAATTACATTTTTGCTCTCTCATCGGGTCGGATTTTTTTTCTGATTTTGATCCAGAAATCTTCAATCGGATCTTTCCTTAAATTTTGGCAAAATTCAAAAACGAAATTAATTAATAAAATCTAAAATATATATATTTCTCAACTAATTATTATATCTAAACTCTTAATTTATGCTATATTCTTTACGATTTTTATAGATAAGGAAATCAAATATGATGATTTAATGCTAATATAACAAAATTTGAGCGAATTTCCTAAAATCTCTCTAATTAGTTTAAACATAAATATATGATTCTCATTTCACTTTTATTTGATGTTATATTTAAATTATTTTGAATTATTATAATATATACATATAGTAAATTTTGGTTTTTTCTGCATATGTTATAATTCAAATTATTTTTAAACAGACATATATTACTCAGTTGATGAAGAAAAAAAAGTATGTGTGCAATCTACTATACATTTTTGCAGCAGTTTTTGGGGTACCCAAATCGGGTCAAATTTATGTAATTTTGACCCGGAAATCTTCAATCGGATCTTTCCTTAAATTTTGGCAAAATTAAAAAACGAAAATAATTAATAAAATCTAACATATATATACTTTCTCAACTAATTACTATATTTAAACGCTTTATTTATGGTATATTCTCCACGATTTTTATATATAAAGAAATCAAATATGATGATTTAATGCTAATATAACAAATTTGCACTAATTTCCTAAAACCTCTCTACCTAATTTAAACATAAATATATGATTCTTATTTCACTTTTATTTGATCTTATATTTATATTATTTTAAATTATTATAAAATATATAAATAGTTAGTAAATTTTAGTTTTTTTTTTCTTCTGCATATGTTACAATTCAAATTTTTTAAAACGGATATATATTACTCAATCGATGAATAAAAATATGTGTGTAATCTATATTAACATTTTTAAGAACAAATTGAGCATTTAATCATGTCGTTATTTTATTCAGACCCGAAATTGAGTCATTCGGATCTTTCTTTAATTTTTACAATTATCTAAAATGGAACAGTATATCACGGGTGAAATCCTAATTAGTATTTTAAGATACAATTATAAATTGTTTTTACGGGTTGGTCCAAAAACACACACTAATTTAAAAATATACATGGAAACTATTTGAAAGCAACTTTCAAATTAACTCGAATTATATGACATTTAAATAAAAGTGTTATTAAAAAAATAACAAAATGATGTTTAATTTCATTTTAGATTATATGGTTGGACGGGTTTGGGTCAATATTAATACGAGACAATATACCACAGGTGAAATCCTATAAATAACAAATCAAAATACAATTATACAATCTTAAACACTAAACAAAACAAATACAACTTAAAATTTTTTATTTTAGATACAACGCATGTTACCCGCGGTATACAACAAAAAATATTATACACAATAAATTCATCAATTTATAAAAATAAAAAAATCAAATAATTAACCCGCGGTGTACCGCGGGTCATATCCTAGTCTACTTAACATTTTTGAAGTACAAATTTGCTCTTTCTAATCGGGTTGGATTTTAATTGATTTTGACCCAGAAATCTTTGATTCGGATCCTCCCATATTTGATGTTTTGACCCAAAATCTTTTGAATCGGATCATTCCTAATTTCCTAATATCTATATTAACTCCAAACGATATTTAGCTAACCAAAATCTTGCCTAAATCTAATTCGGTTAGAATATTTAAAGAATCTAAATTTAAATTAAGGAAAACATAGATATCGGAATTAAAAAGCATTGTATATATAGATAGTTTATTTTAAATGGGAAATCTTGATTTCAATATTTATAGTTATTACGAGTTTTAATTAACGAAATAAATATGTGGTAATTTAATATTTAGCCCATATATAGTTAAATCTTTATAATATCGGAAATATTTTAAACTTTTGTAAAACAAATTATTTTAGTGAAAAATTTCATTTGTTTTATAGGAAAGATTTTATTAACTTCAAATCTTCTCCATATCATGAAAATAATAGTTAACGAAGTTTTATGATTTTATGATCACAACAAAACTAAAGAATATTCTAAAGTTTGTTTAGTTGGAGAAAAGAAACTACCAATTATTTAGGGATTTCGAATATATTCCATTTGCTTGATCTTCAAGATATTTTATGATTACAATATTTTACTTAACCTATTCATTGTACTATATAAATACCTCTTCAATCTTAGTTCCTAAACACTACAAATATGCATTCACTTAACCTACTTGCTTCACGTTCTTAACCTGCGTCTACAAATGTATTGTCGGCTACATTATAGAGCTTACTAAGAAGAAAGTGAACTCATCTACGTCTACAGTTTTGCTTTAATTTTATTTTTTTTCCAGTTTTATATCGTTTATCGGCTTTATGTTTTGTTTTCTCTAACATAAGTTTTATAGTTTTGTTTTATAATTTTGGTGGTGTTTTACTATTTAAAATTTCTGTATGATTAATGAATAAAAAATTCATAATCTTTAGGAGGTTCGGAATTTTTTTTTTGATGACTCCAGTTCTATATCAGTGTTTTTACTTTGAAGACTATAACTACAAAAATAATAACAAAATGATAGTTTAAATTCACAGGACGGGTTCTATGGTGGGACGGATTTGGATCGTTATTAATACGAGACGGTATACTACGGGTAAAATCCTAGAATTAACAATCAAAATACAATTATACAATCTTAAACACTAAACAAAACAAACTATATTACCAAAAAAATACAACTTAAATTTACATTTTTTGTTAAAAAAAATTAACCCACGGTGTACCGCGGGTCATATCCTAGTTAACTACAAAAATGAAGTAAAATTTTTAAAAAGCCGTACCAAAAAAAAGGTGAGCTTCTATATATACCAAACGGTTAGAATATAAAGGCCCAAGTCAAATAATTCGCAGCCCAGCTAATTCAAAATCTTCCCCCTTCGAATTCCGTCGGCGATTTTTTCTCTCCGGTGCCGTCGTCTTGTTGCCGTTGAACGTTTATCGTTACCGCCTACCGCAGATACAACTGTCAAGCGATTCAATCGGTAAGAATCTACTTTCGCTGCTCGTCGATTGAGTAGAATCTCACTGTCAGGCGTTGTTCTAGCTTCGGTTTGTTAAGGTTCGACGATTGACGATCGCTGGTCACAATCGGTGAACATTTCTGTGTTAGAGGTAGCGATTATGCGTAGATTTGATTAAGAAATGGTACATCAATGTTAAGAATATGTTTGATTTTACCTTCTGATTCAATTTCTCCTAAACTTAAGTTTCGTACTGCTCCTTCTTCCTGAAAATCCACGAATCGCCTGGTTTTTTTTGGCTAAATTGGTGTTGAATCTCATAATTTGATTCCTGTTACTGTTCTTCTTTGTTTAGCTAGGTTTTTGGATAATCACATTGTTTGATCTGTTATGTTTCTCAGTCTCTGAGATTATCAGACCTACGTTATGCGTCATATCGCCTTAGAGATAGTTTTAGAAGAAACTGTTAATGGAACTTATGATCGGTGTGATAACATTTGTTCTTCTGTGCTAGTTTAGTTTGTGACGTAGTAGCTTGACTTTTTTTGTTGGTTGCTTTGTGTTCATCATAACATAACAGGTTAAGTGTTTTCGTGAGTGAGTGCTAAAATGATTATGATGGTAGTTTTTTTTCTTTGCAGTTGGTTCAAGGGTGAGACTGAACAGATTTTGCCATGTCTGCACCTGCTAAAAGAAGTTCTACAGATACTCAGGAGAAAGATCTAATGCTCGGTATGGTTCAAATGTTTAAGTGTATGATTCATAACTAACATGGCATTGCTAGTGGAATGTCTTTAAGAAAAGGAATCGTCAAGTAGACTGCCTTAATAACTTGATGTTATAGGCAGAAAGATCATGCACAATATCCTTTATTCTTCTTTATCTCCTCGTTGTTCTATTTCTCAATTTTGGCCAGCTTTGGATTTTTTTTTGGCGTAGATAGAAACCATAAGATGTTGTTCCCATAGTTAAAACGGGCGATTCAATGGTTAGTTGTCTTTTAATTTCCATGGTTACCTACAGATAAAGACATGGAAAACGATACATGGAACTTTAAGTCAATGACAGATGATGATCCAATGGATTTTGGCTTTGACTCACCAGCAAAAACTAAGAAGAATGCCTTCAAGCTGTGAGTGTAACCTATATGATATGCTTCTAAACCATGTTTTCACCTAAGCGAATATAGTTCAATCATAGAAATGTTCCCTACTTTATCATGGATTACTACTCTAAGCTGATGTTGCTTGACAACAAGGCCTAGTGTCTCAAATGGTTCTGTTTCTTTGTCTTTTTTCAGGGATATGGGTTTCGATCTGGATGGAGATTTTGGATCATCATTTAAAATGGACATGCCAGACTTTGATTTCTCAAGCCCAGCCAAGAAAACCACAAAAACGAAAGAAAGCTCTGATGATAAACCTAGTGGAAATTCAAAACAGAAAAAGAATCCATTTGCCTTCTCTTACGACTTTGATGCGTATGAATCCATCAGTAAATCAATTTCCTTTTAGAGTTATCTATGTCATCTAAAATTACTTAACGCCATGTTATGTTTTTCTGAAAGCAGGTTAGACGACTTTGATCTTGGTTCAAGCCCCCCGAAGAAGGGAAGCAAGACTACGACCAAGACCATGGACTGCAAAGAAATTTCTGCAAGTAGAAAGGTTGATAAGTCAGACGATTTGGACTTTGGTCTAGACTTACCAATAACTAGACAAGCTCCCTCCAAGGCAAATACAGATGTTCAGGCAAAAGCTTCAGCTGAAAAAGAGAACCAAAATTCCAAGACTACAGATACTATTGTTGTTAATAAGAGCACACACTCGAGTCAAGCTGCATTAGAGAGCATGGGAGACTTTGAGGCGGTGGAATCACCTCAGGGTTCAAGAAAAAAAACCTCACAAACTCATACATTGTGTGTGCAACCTCAATCCGTAGATACTTCACCATTAAAGACATCATGTTCAATGGTTGAAGAAATGGATGAACCATGTCCTTCAAATGAGACCGTAGCACCCTCGCCATTACATGCTTCTGAGATTGCACATACTGCAGTAAACAGAGAAACCAGTCCAGATATCCACGAACTCTGCAGGTCTGGTACAAAAGAAGACTGTCCTAGAGATCCAGAAAATGCCAACAAGAAAATGATTTCCACCATGGAATCAAGTTATGAGAAGATAGAACAGACTTCACCAAGCATCTCATCTCAGTTATGTTCAGACAAGATAGAACATCAACAGGAAGAAATGAGTACAGACACTCAGGCAGAATTACAGGATAACACTAAAGGAGCACTGTGTGACCCAGATGCTGGACATTCTCTAACAACCCTCTCAGGCAAAATATCACCAGGCACTCGTCCAAGCCAAACTGCCAAGGTACAAGATTTGAGTGAAAAGCTACCACTGGATCCGTCCCACAGGTTAGAAAAAACCAAAACCACTTTTTTATTCCTCGAAAATTTATGGGTACTTTGTCATTCTGCCAGTAGTTTTTGAAGATGAAATATATATCTAACTGCTGTATACTATAAACTGAGTGCAGCATGCCAGGGCTCAATAATTTGAGGGCCATGCAAAACAAAGATTCAGGACTTATCAGATCCAGATTTTTTAATAAGCCAGAAAAACCAGAATCTCATGTGCTTGAGTCTTCTCCAATTCAAACAGAGATTCAGCCAGTTACCCGAGAAAACATTGGGTCGAGTTTGAACCCTACAAATGATAGGAGGTAGTATTTCTTTTCTTCGTCATCTGTGTAACTATATCTTTTCACTCTTTCCTTTATCTCCAACATGCAGACATGATATTAAAGACGCGTTACCTGGATCCAAAACTAGATCATGTCCAATTGAGCTTGTCAACACGGAGTCCGCCAAAAATGCAGCAAATGTTAATACGAGCAGGTACTGTTCTGGGCTTTTATGCTCAAACATAAGAATAAGCTTCTCTCTTTCTTTGAAGATGATATATATATATATATATATATATAAGCTAAGGAACAAATGCCAAGGCCCATGAAAAGAATAAGCTTCTCTCTTTCTTTACCAGCAGTTCTCATGAAAAGATCATCCACAAGGCCCATTCAAATGCCAAGACTGTAGAAAATGTGGCTGGACAGATGGATCATTTAAAGCTGCAAGCTAAAAATACAACTAGAGAGAAGTCCATCTTGCAGATCAATATAAGGTGAGAAACTCGTTTTAATTTACCTGTTTGCTGATCTCTTGCCATCCTCTTGATTCCTTAAACAGGCTATTATACCCCATGTGCACTCATTGTGTATAAGTTACTAGGAAGTTTTATTAGAATGTCATGCATTAAGCTTCCTTGCTTTTGGATTTCTGTCACAGCTCAAAACTCGATGCTTCTAGCTTGACTCAGAAACTAAGCAAACATTTGAGTTCCGGAGCTGAATCTTTGCAGAAGCCCAAAATGATATCTCTCGAAAGGCCTAAACTTGGAAATATTACGGCTGATCTGCGTGCAGTGAAAACTCAAAGGTACAAAAGGAACATACAGCAGTTTCTGGTATGGTATCTCGAGATAGTATATAAATTCAAATTTGCTAATCTCTTCCACTATAGGGCCATTGGAGTAAATAAAGACCAACCGAGTTCGGCAGTGCAACCAGAGCTTAGCTCTTCTATAAGCAAGGAGAGAAATACTGAAGCACCAGTAAAAAAGAGCTCTGAGATTCATCATTTGGCTCCTAGGGACAAAACACAAATCCTGCACTGCCCATCTTCTTTAAAGCGGAAAGCTCTTGATGAGGTTTATTCTTCAACTCACAGTTTCGATGTTCTTACTTCATGAACATATTTGGAGCTAGAAAAAAAGTTTGTTGTTCCACAGGATGCAGATAGATCACTGAAGCCACAGCTTAAACGCTTTTCCATGTCTCCAAGAGAAAACAGGTCTCTAGTTTTTGTTATCTAAACATCTATAAGCTTTTTAGTTCTTATATATGACACGCCTGAGATTGCACAGGAACGTTGAGGAGCTCACACATAGAGCTGTGCAAGGAAAGGTTAGATTCACCAACAGATCTGTGATTATTATTATTATTAGGAGGAGAAGCTTTCTGTGGTTAATTTACCTAACACTTGTCACACAACTGATTTTTTCAGTTCTCAAGCCAAGAGAGTAGAATAGATAATAGTACAACCAAGGAGCCTGTCAAGGAAAGTCCACAGACTAAGTCTCATTACCAGAACATGAACATGGCAAATCTGGAAATCCCAATCACGGAGAATGCTGACAACATAGAGAAAGCTGAAGCATATACAAAAGAACTCGACAATGTAAGTGTCTATAAATATAAACAGAGCCCTCTTCTCGATCATGAACATTCTCAATATAGTAGAACATTTGTAAACGGTTTCTAACTATGCCTTTTTGTTCTATTTGCAGATTTGCAACATCCTGAAGAAGAAACATGAGGAAGCAAAAGAGTTACTTGTCCGTGCTGTAGTAAACAACAATAAGCTACTGATGCTCAACCATCCTTTATATGAAGACCAGATATCCTTTTCATAGACTTTATTTAATGCCATTGTTAGATTTTTTCTATGTATAGCAGTATATATGAACTGTTTTGTGTGTGTTTCCCCTTAATAATCAGAAACATTCGTATGGTCCAGAAGTTCGCAGCCAAGTTGACTTTAAGGGACACATGATGAACACTCAAACAAGTGTAGCTTAAGAGGTAAGAATTTTGACCTTTTCTTTTGTCAGTAACTATCTCAAGAGATTCTATCTGAAGAGTGTACTCCGATCATTCATTTCCTGACTTGGTGGTATTGTCCTATAGGCACAAGGTTCAGTGGGACTTACACCAACAAGTTATCGTCAAAAGTCCAGAAATGTTGACGTCACATTAGTCCAAGGTACTCGATCGTCTCTCTCACTTTGCTGGGGTGATTAATAAAGAAAAAACGTAGAATTTGGAACATATTAAACTTTGATACTAAACTGATAAACAAATTATGCTTTTATCTTTGGGATCCAATTCCTAACACCATTATAACTGAAGCAATCATGATCCAGAATCCGGATGAATTAGAAACGGGTTAAATCGGGTAAAGGTCTCACTATGCATATGCAAGAAAAACATATATGTGCTCAAAATAAAGCCCAATAATAAAATAGTCTTGTTGGGCTCGATTTGATAATTGATAATTGATAATTCTAATTTTTTAAAAAATAACAAAACCCGGTGGTTCCCTCCCTCCTCTTGGCGCACATCCTAAAACAAATGGCGCGTAAAAACCTACCCTGTCTGGTCTCAAAGTCGAAAGTCAAATCTTCTTTTAGTAAAAACAAAACAAAATTTTCGAACCAACATAGAAACAGAGAATCTTCCTATTTCCCTCCATATTACAGAGCCCTTTTTCAAGTTTCAGAATTTTAGAACCATTCTCAAAATCCCTCCACAAAATGAAAAACACAAAAAACTTCAAAAATCAAATCTCAGATCCGTCATTTCCAAATCCGGTTCAAAGTCCCTCTTATTCACACACTTCATATACATTTCCTCACTTCTTCCTTCCATCCTCAAATCCATCTCTCTCTCTTTCTTCTCTCTATTCTCTTTCTTTCTCTACTACATCAATGGCGATTCTATATTCAAAGCCTCAACACGACAACAAAGAGAATATCTCACTCTCACCCTCAGAGATGGTCACCATTTCTGTCAAACCTCTAGATTCTTCATCCATTGATAAAGACAAAACCCAAATCAGAATAAGAAGAAAAAGATCTAGGAAGCCTCTTCAAGACATCACCAACCTCTTTGTCTCGTCATCACCATTGTCCTCTTCGTTTCTGATTCGTCACATTCCCTCTTCTCCATCTCTATCACTTGATCCCAAATGCATGAAGAGAAGATCTGGTCTTTCCCTCAAGCCTGCTACTTCTTCTTCTACCTTCTCTTGTAGAAATTTCAGATGATTTTTTTTCTTTGGAAACCGTTGTTTAACCCTCTTGATGGGTTCTTCGTTTCCCATTTTCGAAATTTTGTTTATCACTTTTTTTTTTTTTGTTAATTATCGATATTAATCAATACCTTGCCATTAGCATTCATGTACAACACAAGATTTATTTCTATGAGTATACTGGTTTCTCAATAATTCTGATTCTTGCAGATTATTTGTTCAACATTGGTATAATTATTATATCCCTGAGTTCAACGAATGGATCTGAATATTGTATAACTAAGAACATTTTAGATGGAAATAAAGTTAGTGATAGCAATTACAATCCAGCTACAGAAATTGTCTTTAGGATCAAGGCCTGTCGACTGATATAAAAATGTGGACCATTTTATCTGTGTTTCAAATAATGAGATAATATTTAACTCTAAAACATACATAAAACTCTCTTGAATATTTTCTACAACTCCTAATTATAACCTTTTTTAGACTGTTAAGATTTCAGGTTTATCTTGTTAACAAGTGATAGTCAAATAACAAGTTTATCTAGAAATGGAATTTCTGACGAAAGTCAGACTGATGCAAAAGACAGAGAAGAACGCAATAAAGAGAGTAACAATTTGACACACAGAGATTAAGAGCATTTTCGTCGATCTCCAGATATTTTCAGCTAAGTGTATAAGTGTATTGCCAGTTTGCCACTATATATACCTTCATGTAAATTCTTTCCCCAACTTGTGGTATCTCATGTAATTGTTCACAGAAAAAAACACTGATCAATCCCATTTAAGAAGAAAAAAAAGAAGTAAATTATTTTTATGTCGCCACTAAAATGCAACGTCAAAATAAACGTCACTAAAGCTCTAGTGGTTTACTGATGTTGTATAGTGTTTTGGATAAACAAATTTGCTGACACAATGGCATTTATAATGAAATCTGGATGTGGATAAGTTAAAAACATAATTACAGAGTTAAGAAATTTGAATGGTTCGAAACTTATCCTTTAACTAAATCACTTTAACCTCGACTTAGTGGAATCTTAAACTACACTACCATATACACGTCCAGACAAAAGGAATTACAGACTATAATACCTTTTCTCGATGGTTGAAACTTTTTTGAATATTCTTCATGTAATGAAATCTCCTGATGACTGATGAGTCAAATGTGTAGACAAAAAATAGTGAAAATCTTCGACTAACCAATACAAAACCTACACAAAACCCATAAGTGCACTCAGGCCTTTGACTTCATTTTCATATTTTATATCTTTTTCTATCTTATTGGACTTTCATGAATCACCCTCCTCGTCCATTATCATTACCTCGTATTATTATTATTAACTCTCTCTCTCTCACACTTACGTAATACTATAATATTTGTGTATGCGCATGCATATATCAATATATAATGTTACTGGATAGGGACGGTCGAGTTATAAATAGTGTAAGGTTTGGTATAGAATATTATTGCTTTATTCATATTTAATTATTTGATTATAATTAGCACTTGAAGCCGTCTCTTATCGCTTTTTGACTCTCCAATGTAAATACATAAGATTCATATCTTTCTTAATTTTGATTATGTAATTACGGAAAACGATCGTATGTAAATGGATAAAACTTTATCCTTCTTATTTGAACAATCCACATTTCACTAAGGGTTTAGTCTTATTTACTTTTGATCGTGTAAATACTTGTTTCGAGATTAGTCGATATTATTTCTCTAGAATAAGAACAAGAACTTTAACAAAGAATTACTCTCTTTATTACTTAGGAAAATAGCTCAAAACCTAAAAAGTTCTATCTCTCAAATTCTCACACAACTCATATGTTTATCACAAGCTTAATAAACATATATATAGGGTTTTACAAGACTCATAAACCGACTTTGATTAGCATCTAGATAACTCCTAGACCTAATACAATTTTATCCATAAATCCATTCATAAACCGACTTTATTAACTTGGGCTTTAAGTCAAGCTTATTCCAACAATCTCCTCCTTAAGCTTGAAGCCTCCTTTCTTCACTTCTTGAACTCCAATAAACTCTCTCATTTCACTGAACTTTACTCTTCCGAGAGCTTTAGTCAATATGTCTGCTTTCTGTTCTTCTCCCGGAATGTGCATGACCTCAATTTGTCCAAGCTCAACACATTCTCGAATAAAATGATATCTCCTATGAATGTGTTTGCTTCTACCATGGAAAACAGGGTTCTTTGTAAGAGCTATAGCCGATTGATTATCGATAAAGATAGTGACCTTCTCAATTTGTGTTCCTGAAATTTCACTGAGTAAATCTTGTAGCCAAATGGCCTGCTTCGCAGCCTCTGTTCCTGCCATGAATTCTGCTTCGCACGAGGATAACGCCACAACACTCTGTTTTTGTGAGCACCACGATATTGGCCATTCTCCAAGATAAAATATATGTCCCATGGTACTTCTTCCATCATCTGGATCCAAGTTGTGGCTGCTATCACTGTATCCTATTAGTTTTGGCACGTCATTGCTCCGTTTAAACACAAGACCTAGAGATGTAGTTCCTTTCAAATATCTCAAACATCGTTTCATTGCTACAGCGTGTGATTCTCTAGGACTCTGCATATATCTACTCAGAATTCCTACACAATATGAAAGATCTGGTCTGGTATGAAGAAGGTATCTGAGACAGCCCACATTCTTCCTATAACTTGTAGCATCAACCTCTTTCTCGTGTTCTGACTTTGAAGTCTTTAGTCCAGTTTCCATGGGTGTATGAACTGGATTGCAATCTCTCATACCAGCTTCTTCCAGGATTTTCAAAGCGTATTTGTGTTGATTCAAAGCAATCCCCTCATTGTGTTGTATGACTTCTATTCCAAGGTAGTAGGTGAGTTTTCCCAAGTCACTCATTTCAAACTTTGAAGACATCTCTTCTTTGAATTCTTTGATGATCTTCAGATTTGTTTCTGTTACAAATAAATCATCAACATACACAGCTATGACTAGTAAGTGTTTCCCAACTTCTTTTCGATACACTGATGGTTCCTTTGAGCATTTCTTGAAGTGTAATTCGCAAAGTATCTGATTCAACTTGTTATTCCAGGCTCTTGGTGCCTGTCTTAGCCCATATAGAGCTTTGTTGAGTTTGTAGACTTTATCTTCTTTTCCTTTTATCTCAAAACCTTCAGGTTGGTTAACATAGACTGTTTCTTTTAGTTCTCCGTGTAAGAATGCTGTTTTAACGTCAAGATGATGTATCTCCCATCCATGTGAAGCTGCCAAGTCAATCAAGAGTCTAATGGTTTCTATTCGTGCAACTGGTGCAAAAACTTCCTCAAAATCTACTCCGTATTGTTGTACATATCCTTTTGCAACGAGTCTGGCTTTATGCTTATTTATGCTTCCATCTGAATTTCTCTTGAGCTTAAAAACCCATTTTAGGCCAATTGGTGAAGCACCTAATGGTAAGTCCACAAGATTCCATGTCTTTAGTTTTTCTATAGAACTTATCTCATCTTCACATGCATTTATCCATTCTTTTATTTCTTTGGCTTCATGGAAACTTCTTGGTTCATCATTTATACATAAAAGTAACACTTCTCCTTCTTCCTCAGCCATTAGCACATAATCTTCAAGATATTTTGGTTTTATGATTTGTCTCTCTGTTCTTCTTAAGACTGGTGGTGAGACATAGCTAGGATCCACATTCTCACTTTCTTCTTCCTCATTAGACTCAGCTCTATCCTCTGTTTCAGTATCACTTTCACTTGCCTCATTATCAATCGGATCATGATTTTGCAGTCCATGTTCTGTTCCTGCTTGCTCTGTTTCAATGGTTTCTCCATTCTCTCGGAGACCATTATTCCCATAGGTATCAAATGTGATATTAAAACTTCCATCCCCATCTTTTGTTATGTTTTTATGTTCCCAGTTCCATCCTTTTGCTTCATCAAACATGACATCTCGGCTTACTACTATCTTCTGCACTTGCGGATCAAACAAGCGATATGCTTTTGACCCTGGTTCTATACCTAAGTGAACAAGCATCCTAGATCTGTCATCAAGTTTTTTCAAATGTGGCTTGTTTATTTTTGCATATGCGATGCAGCCAAATACTCTAATGTGCTCAACTGTTGGCCTTTTTCCTCGAAAACATTCATATGGAGTTTTATCTTTAAGAGTCCGTGTAGAGACTCTATTCAATATGTAGGTAGAATGTCTGATGGCCTCTCCCCACAAGTAGTTTGATAATTTCATATGCTTCAGAATACTTCTTGCCATTTCCATTAAGGTTCTGTTGCGTCTTTCCACCACTCCATTATGTTGAGGAGTGTATGGAGCAGTAAGATGTCTTTTTATCCCTGATTCTTCACAAAAGGAGTTAAACTCAGATGATATAAATTCTCCTCCTCTATCCGTTCTAAAAGTTTGTATTCTTGATCCTGATTCCTTTTCAACTAAAGCTTTGAAATTCTGAAACTTTTTGAATGCGTCTCCTTTTTCTTTCAGTAGTATGGTCCACATATAGCAGGAGAAATCGTCAATAAGCACAAAGATGTACCTGTTTCCAGCACTTGTGCTTGGTGATATTGGTCCACAAAGATCACCATGGATCAGCTCAAGTTTCTTGGTAGCTCTATAAGTTGTTTCTTGTGGGAAGCTTTGTCTGGTTTGTTTGCCAAGTAAACAAGAGCTGCAAACTTCCTTTTCAACCTTAATAGCAGGAGCACCTAAAATAAGCTTCTTGTCAACCATGTTCTTTAAACTTGCAAAGTTTATGTGTCCCATTCTTGCATGCACTCTGCTTGAATCACTTACTATTGTCAAATACAAGTTTGCTTCTTTTCTTAATCCCATCTGGACCTTGTATAGTCTGTTCTTGGATCTTTCTGCCTTGACTAGTAACTTTCCATCAGAATCAAGCATTGTTAGATACTCTCCTTTAAGTCTTATATCACAGCCAGATTCAGTAGCTTGTCCTAGGCTTATGATGTTACTTTTTAAATCAGGTATGAAGTAAACATCAGTCATTATTCTTGAGTTCCCATTTGTATCTGTAAATGCTATTTTTCCTTTTCCTTTGATGTCAATACGGGAATCATCTCCAAACCGAACCTTTCCTGTTATGGTTTCATCAAGTTTATCAAAGTATCTTTTGTCTCCAGTCATATGGTTGCTAGCACCATTATCAAGATACCAACATTCTTCTCCATTGGTATTTGTTTCAAAGTTACTAGGCACACAGTTTTTCTCATTTAAGTAGACCACTTCATTCATCATAAGCTCATCTGCATTCTGTGTGTCTTTTGTTTCTGTTTCTTGTGCTTCTTGTAATTTTAACAACCTATCCGGACATTGTGATGCAAAGTGCCCATTCTTGTCACAACGGAAACAAGTTATATGTGAAAGATCTCTTCCACCAGATCGGCCTCGACCTCCTCTATAGAAACCTCTGCCACCGCGTCCTCTGTTTCTATAATCGCCTTGATAACTTGTTTATGTGCTTGTGTACATCAGTTTACTTTGATCTTCTTCAACTTCTTCTTCATCATTCACACGGTCTTCATAGGTTTTAATACGTCCAACTATATCCTCGAAGCTTATGTTTTTGAGGTCTAAAATCTGTTCAAGAGATGCTACTATGTGGATATATTTTTTTCGTGGTAAGCTCTTAAGAAAATTTTTCACAAGTTTGGTTGGTTCAATGGTCTCTCCTAGTGAAGCTGCTTTTGAAGCTATTTCAAATATTTTTTCAGAGAATCCATCTACCGTTTCTGAGTCTTTCATCTTGAGCCGATCAAATTCTGCCATCAAGGTTTGTAATCTTGCTTCTTTTACTCTTTCTGCTCCAACATGCTTTGCTTTAATTGCTTCCCATACTTTCTTTGCATTATCTAACTCTCCAATTTGTAGTACAAGAGCCTCATGTATTGACTGGAAGAGTAAGGCCATGGCTATATCGTTCTTATCACTATTAACAACATTAGTCTCAACAACTTCCCATACTTTGTGTACACGGAGGGCGATCCTCATCTTCATAGCCCATACGGTGTAGTTTGTGGAGGTTAGCATCGGGCACTTTATGGTAGAAGGTATGTGATCCTTCCCTGTGATGTTATCCACGGCGAGAGCATCATCATCAGCCATGGCTCGGCTATACCTAATGATCTTCACGTCTTCTTAAGGATCGAGAAATCCTTATTGCTCTGATACCAATTCTAGAATAAGAACAAGAACTTTAACAAAGAATTACTCTCTTTATTACTTAGGAAAATAGCTCAAAACCTAAAAAGTTCTATCTCTCAAATTCTCACACAACTCATATGTTTATCACAAGCTTAATAAACATATATATAGGGTTTTACAAGACTCATAAACCGACTTTGATTAGCATCTAGATAACTCCTAGACCTAATACAATTTTATCCATAAATCCATTCATAAACCGACTTTATTAACTTGGGCTTTAAGTCAAGCTTATTCCAACAATTTCATAATAGTGTGACCTAACAAATCCCTGAGTGTTTTAAATGGATGATCGCATGCATGGCTCAACATAACTTCAGATTGGATATTGATTATATGTAGTTACCGGTTGTTTTACTTATATTGATTTAGACTGGAAATTGCATTGTAACCACTGCGATATATTCACCTAGTTTTTTTTTTTTTTTTTCTAGGATTAGTATAAAATACATCCAAGAGACAAGGCCACCTAACAAATTAACTACAAATGTTTAAAAATGGATCGCACATGAGTCTAAAAAAGGGCTTGGCCAATCCTAGGCCCTAACACAATTCAGAATATGTATATATTAAGATGTCGATCGTATTAAATATGTGTAGTACACAGTAATGCGGCAATCTTTATCATTTTTTGTACTATTCAAAACACCAATTTGCATTTTGCAAGTCGCAAGAGTCACTTGCTAAGCTGGTTATAGATTAAATATGATTATTATAGAAGTTTTTGGTGATGAAGAAAAATGTAGGCAACGAGAAAACCTGTCCTTGGTGACAACTCATGCTTGCACTTGCCATAAGCACTCAAGCCCTAAGCTAGCTAAACCTATCTGTCACTACTAGAAACCATTCAAATAAAACTCTATAAATAGAAACCCTCATGAGATCTCTTCTTTTCTCATATACACTCATACACACCACGTGAACAACTTCCCAATTGCACAATCTCTCTCTCTTTCTATTACCTTTCTATATTAGAAACTAATTAATTGTAATTGTAATGGCTAAGTTAAGCTTCAGTTTATGCTTCTTGTTGGTTCTTCTGTTATCCTCAATCGCTGCTGGAAGTCGCCCTCTTAGGCGGGCTCCAGTCGGGGTGAAGGTGAGAGGCCTAAGCCCTTCTATTGAGGCTACAAGTCCGACTGCATCTGATGATCAAGCTGCGGGTAGCAGCAGCAGCCATGGGAAATCGCCAGAGCGGTTGAGCCCTGGAGGACCCGACCCGCAACATCATTAGTTATTTTGTGTTTCCTTTACAATTAAGAGTTGTTTCCAATTTCTTCGAGATGATTATTACTTATCAATAATTTGGTTGCAATGAATCTGTTTATATATATATATATATATAAATAAAATTGTGAATTTAAGTTTAACGTTTTATTGATATTCTAAGTTTCGTTATCGTACGTTAATTAGATGTTCTAAATTTGATGATTTTACTTTTCAGACTGGATCATTAGTATTCACCTTATAAATTATTATTATTATTTTGTAATTACTATACATATAGCAACGCGGTACGTATGACGTTGATTTAGATGGTCCTGCATGTACATATGATTCTGTTTTATATGCCGATTGTGACTAGTATGTTTAAACAATCTAAAACAAACAAATATGTATTTGTTTTTTTTAACTGACAAAACAGTAGAATGGAAGGAACGTACAGTTTAGATGTGGTCGATCTAGATGGTCAATTGCATACATATATATGACTTCGTCCCATAATAACTTATGTTTAAAATTGATCGTAATAGTACATTAAATAAAAAAACTGTTGAGGACAATGAAATTAAACGACAATTAAGTTTTGGATGAGATCTTACATTCCCTGAAAAAAAAAAAAAGACAAAAAGAGGAAAGCTTCTTACATTCATTTAACCTTTAACAAAAAAAAATATTAATGTTGATGCGATCGTGTATTAGTTAGTAAAAGATAATACGGTGAAATAAATAAATTAAACAGTACAAATTTGATTTTGATATATGCTAGTACTGATTACTTCAAGAGTGTAAACTCGAAAATTTCAAAATTCAGCATGTCTATGTTAATTATATATATACATATGTACAGAGCCGAGCTTTATATAATGTTATCAAAAGAACATTTGTCCTAGGCCACATGAAATATTAACATTTTAAAAGCCACATTTATATATACTTTTAAGTGATTTGTTCCTTTACATTTTAATTATTTTAGAGTATATGATGAAATCTTCGGTAATATCATACTTTGAAATTATTTTTAAAAAAATATATGTATATATATTACTAATCCTTACATACATATACTAATATGCACATAATTTTTTATTTTATTTTTGGTTACATAGACTAGAGGATGTTGTGGAGTTATAAATTTATGAAAAAAATTAATTATTTAATGATTTTACAGTTCTTTAAATCATATTTTGTTAAAAATAAACATTTGAGTGATAAGTAGAAATTTACAAAAGAAACATATATGTTTAAACAAATTAAAAAGGCCAAATATTTTACAAGTTACCTTACACCTCTCTAAGCCTAGGCACGACACTATATATCGTATACTGTTATTTGGGGAGTACACTTTATAAGATACCCTTAACTAACTTTCCCTTTTGTAAAAATTTATTTAAAAATGCCATTAGAGATAAAATTTCAATGAGTAAATTAATTCATCTCATTAAGGATAAACAAGTCAATTTATACAATTTAATTAATTTAATTTTAAGGGAAATTGTTAAAAATACCCCTTTTGGTTTGCCCCTTTTCAAAAATGCCCCTTTTAGATGTCCATTTTAAAAAATGCCCCTTTTTAAATCTGAAATTTTTATAAAGTTTTATTAGGTTTATAAGGTACTTATGGATTGTAACTACTACTTGAAGACTCGATCCAAGTATTTATAAGGTTTTATAAGGTGTTTTTAAAGGTTTTACAAGTTATTTTAAAAGATTTTTAAGGTTTTTTAAAGGTTTTACAAGATATTTTAAAGGTTTTTAAAGGTATTTAAAATGCATTTATAAGGTATTTATAAAGTATTTATAAAATTTTAGATACATAGAAATGTAGTTCGTGTATGTTTTAATAATATTACATACATATTTGGGTAAATCTTATATTTTTAAGAGAATTTTTTTATAAGGTTTTTAAATAAGGGTATTTTTGAAAAGTGACATTAAAAAAGTGGCATTTTTACAAAAGCCCCTTAATTTAATTATAAAAACGAAAAATACATTATTATTATTATTTTTAAATGACCAATCAAAATGAATATATAAGATTTGATATCTAACTTACCTTATTAATTTGTTATTAATCATTATATTTCACCTCTCATCTTTATATGATTCTATTATTGTGAAACAAATAAATCATCATATCATCCATATAATAATAAAAAATAGATTTTTTTTTTCCGTATATGCCATGATTTGAATTTTAAGAAACGAATATAAATTATTCAATTTATGAAAAAAAAAAATTTAACGAGTCAAAAATTTAGACTTGGATGATATATTTCTTTTAAACAAAAATAAATTCAACAAAAATTCTGCATGAATAACGGGTCAGAATTTGAGTAATTATATTCAATTTCATATATTTTTTAAAATATATAATTTTATATACTACGATAAAATTTTAAATATTTCAATTTGGAATATTTTAAAATAGTTTTAATTGATATTTAAAAACAAATATCATCAATACTTAATAAATAAAAAAATTAAAAATTATACATTCACTAATTTGGTTTTCTTAAAACAAATATATTTAAAAAATATTTATAATAGACGGTGGGTTAAATATAATGTATTATATGATGGAATAAGTTATGATCTTTATAACAATTTGAATATTTATATTTAAGTTCATACAATTATTTTTTAAAAATTCTTAATTTTATATTCTACAATAAAAAATAAAAAATATTTTAATTTGGAAAAATTTAAAAATAGTTTTATTATATAATATTTTAAATAATATCATAAATATTTAATAAATCAAAAGATAAAAGTTATAAATACTCTAATTTCATTTTTCAAAGCATAAATATTTAAAATATTTATAGCAAGCAGCATGTTAAATGTGATGTATTATATGATAAAAAGAGTTATGATCTTTATAACCGAAACCATGTTAAGATTATATGATGAGATGAGTTAAATAAGGTGTCAAAATATTTAAAATTTTGATTCCATAAGTATATATGAAAATAATTAATGATGGATTGTGCACACAATTTTTTTATTGGGATTCTAAAATAAAAATATAGGTACGCACGGATTGAATTTAATCTTATTATATACCAAAATATGTTTATTATATAAGTAATTTTTTTGGGAGATTCACAAAAATGCCCCTTTTTCAATACCTCTTTTCAAAAATGCCTATTTGGCTTTCCATTTTTAAAAATACCCCTTTTTATGTATAAAATGACTAAATTACCCTTCTTTTAATAAAAGATATCATAAATATATAAGGAAAACATGAGAATGTGCACACATCAAAATTACAAATTTGATTTTGTAAAAACTTGTAAAACCTTTAAAATACCTTGTAAAATTTTCCCGTAAAAAATTTTCCCGACAAAAAAGTTTTTTTGCGGGAAAAGTGATTCCGCAAATTTTTGGCGGGAAAAATTTACAAGGTATTTCAATGGTTTTTACAGGGTATTTATAAGGTTTTACAATGTATTTTAAAAGGTTTTACAACGTATTTATAAGGTATTTATAAGATAGTATAAGATTTTACAAGCTATTTTATAAAGTTTTACAAGTTATAAGGTTTTACAAGTTTTTTATAAGGTTTTACAAGTTATAAAAATAACTTGTAAAACCTTATAAGTACCTTGTAAAACCTTTTAAAATACATTGTAAAACCTTACAAAACACTTGTAAAAACTCTGTAAAACCTTTAAAATACCTTGTAAATTTTTCCCACCAAAAATTTTTCCGCCAAAAAATATTTTGTATTTTGTGGACCTAATTTTGTTTCAAATAAGGGTAAAATGGTCTTTAAAAATTAAAAGAGGGCAAACTTAAAAATGAACTCTCAAAGAGGGCATTTTTGAAAAGAGGTATTGAAAAATGAGCATTTTTAACAATTTCTCAATTTTTTTTCACTTACTACTAGCATATATCAAATGCATACGTTTTATTTTTAACCAAAAAAACGAAAAAAACCGTAAAAATCGAACTGTAACTAAACCGAATTACATACGGTTTCTATATGGTTTCACTTTCTACAAAACAAAAAAAACGATACTAAACCGAAAAACCGTACCCCACTCCTAATATTTTCTTATCAAAAAAAAAAAAAAATCCTTATATGTCATTGTATTATGTAAAGAATTATTAAAATTATACTATAAAACAAACAATTATCCAACTTTATATAAATATTTAAAAATTAAAATTTTATCCGTGTTGTTCCAGCACGGGTTATAATCTAGTATATATATCTTTGGTTATTTAACTTTAAATGTTTTCTCCATCGACTTTTCTAAGAAAGATTTGCAAAATATAATTTTAAAGAAAAGGCTGTTTATATTTAATTAAGTATGCTTTACAGTAAACCAAACACCTCCTATTACTATGATCATGATGACTCATGAGTGAGAAAGACAGATTCCGATGAAAAATCATATGCATATCAAAACAAAATTAATTAAAACAATTGAACATTATACACATATAATATGATAACGAAAAAAGAATCGACCTAAAAGTTAAAGAACGTGAAGACCAAAATGGAGGATTATTCCGCTGTAAATGGCATCATATAATAAGGTCTTTTTTATCGACGAACAAAAGACGGCAAACGTGAAGCATTCTTTTTTGATTAAAAGCAAATCATATTTTTATGAGTATCGCCAAAACCTAATGACTTATCACACGACCCAAATAGACCCTCTTGTAAATTATAGTAGCTTTTCCTTTTCTATTTAATATAGATTAATATCACTCAAAAGATATTATAAGCAAAATGATCTTCTTATCATTATAGTAAACATACGCACGATTTGGATGTTATATAAATGCGGCAATGAGGTAATCAACACAAAAACAATATGTTTAATCTATTTAAAGCATATATGGGGATGTGCCTTTAGTCAAGTGGTTAAGTCCATTTGACTTTGCCTTCTCCACTGGAGTAAAGCACGTTAATCCACGTAGTAGGGATTGGTTATGGATCGGGTCTTGTCGATCCAAAGATATCAAAAAAAAAAAGGCATCCCTTTTAATATTTATTTAATAAAAAATTAAAAAAAAGCATCACTTTCATATATTGCTTTTATACGACATATTCCTTATTTAACAAAAAAAATGTATATATATCTTGTTCATAGACGAAGAAATTTTTTGTCACATGTAATCCAACG